AAAAAAGGTTACTAGATTATTTTCTTCTTATCTTCCCTCTTCTGCTCCAGCCAGGCGCGAGATGGAAGTTAACAAGGAGAAAACCACGCCAAATTTTTTTGCAGTTTAAGATATAAAGTTATTTATTCAACTCTATAAAAGCAGAGACCATTTGCAGGGAGATTTGGAAGCCTCATCTATATAGTGGACACACTGTATAGTGACTTCCTAATTGCCAGGAAGGGTTCTCCAAATCCTTGCTGCAACCGGGCTCCCCAGTGACTGCAGATCTGGATGATGGTAACGTATTAATAGGGCAATTGGTGATGTATCTTTCTTAATCCCTATTGCTAACTCTATGTGGTAATGATTAGGCGCATTACCTTACTTTCTGCTTGCTATAGTAGTTTGCTTATTATTTTGCTGCTCTACCTTATCTTGCTTTAATTCATTTTCACTGTATTATTTTTGTAGTTATTTTATCACTTTAAACATAAGTAAAAATAAGTTTACTTCTTTAATTTGGTGCCTGTGTCCTTTGTGCTAACCCCATCGATTGGCAAAACACTAACCCATTTAGCATGTGCTTTGTTGCTATAGTATGATGTTGTCTTCTAAGCATTGTGCCATATAGGGCTAAGTTGTATACCTTACAAAGGCTCATGTATTGCCTGTGTGTACTTACTTCAGTCAACCAAAGGGCATTGAAGAGTGATTAAATTTGTTCAGGAAGACTTATTTTGGAGTCATGTTGCCGTTAATTCTGTAATTTTTAGGAAGTGATCTCCCCGTGTGATTTCCCTCACTGTGCTTGGGGACTGCTTTTTTCCCCTACCTGAGTCACTTCTGTTTGTCCTTTTGACACAGTATTCAAACCCTTCCATATCTCTGTGATTTCCCTAGAATTCCAGGATATGTTAAAAATTGACATCAAAGAGGACACAGGGAGATCAGCCAGCTGTTTTAGTTCTTTTGAGTGGAAACTATCTATTTTGTTGCTAGTCAGGTCTTTATAAATAGTAACAGCTTTCTCAGTACTGTATTTCTGTCTTCAAACATGCTTTGTCATCCATCCTGATGTGATATAAGTCCTTTTCCTTTTGTTCTGTATTTGGACAATAATACAAATGAACATTTCTGTTTTCATTGTATTTTTTACTGTATTTTACTATTGCATCTGCTGGTGGGCCTGAATTGTTATTGAGGTTTTTTTGTTTATTGTCTTAGCCTTTTGGTTTGTTTTCTGACGTGAACTCAAAACTTGTTTGGGGCTGGTAGCAGTGCTGTGCATTTAGTTATAGAATATAGTAATATTTTAAGGTACTTTATGATAGAGACATCTGTTCTGGCATGGTTCTGCAGTTCAGAAGAATAAATCACAACTCGCATAGCATTTTTGAGAGAAGAAAAGCAGCTCCCTAGATTGTTCTTTTCAGCAGTTTACTGTGAAAATCTTTAAAGAGTTTTTTAAGTTCTGACAATGTCTCCTAGAATGTGAGGAACTCTCTGTTGGGGGATGGGTGGGTGGAAATTTTAATTTGTATTTGGTAACCAAATGCTAAGTTACAGAGAATAATCTTTAAAAAAATTAAAAATCTTTTAAAAAAACCTTAAGCTGGTAGCTGTCTTATCTTCAGTAAAATGTTGGTAACCGCAGACTGCAAGTTTCCTATGAAGTTTACATCAGTAAGCAGAGAGATTTCATTTGTTTGGACAACCATCAGTTTTAACCCTGAAGTGTAAAGATGACAATGCCAGCTGCTCCACTAACATCTGGTTGCTGTAAACTTCTTTCCCATTTGAGCTCTAAAATGTGGAGTGACACATGCAAAAGCTGCCTGCAGAACATACCTGGGGAAGCAGAACCATCCTCGATAGACACAGTGGTGTTGGCAGAAGCAGCGTGGGCTGCTGTGGTCTGCTGAGAGCAGGATGTCCCATTTTCTGCAGTTGCAGGCAACCCTGCATTAAATGTTGAGTCCACTGTGGTCAGCTGAACTTGCCTGAGTTATGAGAGACGTTTTCAAAGCAAAGATTATGGTTTTGTAGACTAAGTTAACTACAGAAACAAAATAAATGCCGGTCATGTTTTTTTCTTAAGGAACAGTGACATCTGTGAACTTCAGTTAAATGTCTCCATTTGGATGGACTCCTGGCAGTAACAATCTCAGCAGTGTCCAACAAACTAGATTTATTCCACCAGCACATCTTTTGTGTCCCTTATTTCAACATTAAATATTTGTTCAAATTTTAGTATGAAAGCATCAGGAACTAAAGACCCTCACTGCATATGTAGCTACGGTCTGGACCTGACGAAAGTGCACAGACCCTCAAACTGGCATGTGCTACTCAACACTGGACAGCTGAAGGAGAAAACAGAAAAATTATTTTGGCATGAGCAATGGCTCCAAAACCTGCTTTACCCATAGTGAAGGTACCAGAATATGGTCAAGGTTTTCAGACATTTAGCACCAGCCAAGGCAACTTTAATTCTTAAACCACATAATTGAAAATAAAGTACCCTGCCAATTTGGTAAAAGGATTCATCCCATTGTCTCTTCTAAATTTAGGGAGACAGAACATCTGCCATGGAAATGCACAAAAGTGTCTGTTAGTCTCGGTTGTGAGCCTTCATTCTGGTCTGCCTCTCTCTTAACCTCAGCTCTACGTTTTCCTCATTTAGTTTCATTTCTCTTGATTCATCCTTCACTTTCTTTTTCAAAAATTATTTTCTTTAAATTTTTTTGTTCGTAAATCTGTTACTCTGCCGTGTTTTTCATTGTCTTTTCCTCCTGCCCTGTTGCCTTGTATTTTGTGTTGTTTTTCTTCTGTACACACCGCGTGGTTCCTTGATTCTCACCTGCTCTTCTGCTTATCTCCTTACATTTCTTTATTCAGTCCTGGTTTCTTCCATCTTCTCTCCTTCCTATCGCTTTCTGTCCACTGCATCAGATTCTTCTGTTTGCAGTGCTGGAATACATCAGAAATTATGTTTTCCTCCCTCCCCTGCCCTTTTAGTTACTGAAATATGCACATAAGAATTCAAATATGCTTCTAAAAATAGTAAAAGGACAAAACTGTTTGTTTCAGCTTTTCAGCCTTTGCTTTATTAGAGCTTCTGGGAGGAAAGACCCATAAAGTCTATAACTAATTCAGCTGCAGGGAAAAAAATAAAAGCCAAATAAAAACCAGAAAGAAATATAGCAACAACGTATTTGATTTAAAAAAAAAAAAAAAAAAAAGGGCAATTCTCATGTGTGCTCTGTCTCTGAACAGTGGCAATATGGAATGTGTAGTTCTAAGTGGCATTTTATATCCTGGGTCTTTCTGCTTGTGTGAGGGAGATTATTGTGTATTTCACAGTTGTGGTGGTTCATATTAAAGCTAACATAACTGGATGTGGGATTAAAAAAAATGGGGTATTTTTAGAGAAGATGAGAGTCATGCAAATTCTGAAAGACGTGGTGGATGGGAATTTCTTCCTGCAGGAAACATCTGTCCAGGCAGGTACTTGTGAAGCGTTGGCATTTCCCATTGTCCAACGGACTCTTCTTGCCCAGGAAGTAGATTTGCTTTATGTTTCAAGACTGCCTAGATATTTCTCAAATGAAAATAAATGGAGGTTTTTTTTTTTTTTTTTTTTTTTTTTACGTTTTGTACTCAGTGTTGTGACTATTAAGCTTTAAACTCTGAGTTTGGCACTGTAGATGTTTGTGACAGGATTATAAAGTCCATCAGCTCCAGTATTATGTAACTTTGTCTCAGGATATAAATTCCTGAAACTGCATGTCCCAAATTCTGTTGAAATATTTATTACAGTGCAGACAGCTTCTAAAAATAAACTTTCCCATTAGATATTATATTTTATAATAGATTTGCTCTTCAGAAAAGTTTTATTTTCTTCTTGAAATAATAAAGTTTATGGTATTGTTGCCTTCCCTGCAACCCCCTAAAATACTGATCAGGCAGGAGCAGGTACTGGCTGCTTTCAAAAAGTGTTTGGGGTGAATTAAAGGCTTCATAAAAATTCTCTGAGACAGGGAGCAATTAGATGTGATTAGGCAAAAGGCTGATAATCAGAAAGCTTTTAGTGCTGGGCAGTGTATGCCCTGGTATGGGCATTGTGTTTACACCTGCCCATTTGTGGGGAATTGCATTTAGCAAGTATTTGTTTTCCCTGGTAGTGAGATGAGAGACAAATGTCTTTGCTTTGCGTCATCTCTCAGAATGTCTCTCACTTTCTACCTTACGTCTTCCTCTCTTCCCTTGAAACCTATCGCGTCTTCCGAGTGTGTGTCCTATAGGTATTAACAAGCCAAGCACAGTTCTCTCAGTCTTGTCTTGGTGGAATACGAGCCCATCCTCTGAAATAATTTGTATGCCTTTGAAAACATTGACTTGGAAGCCTCACTGGGAGTTTAAATTACATTTAAATATATTCAGTGTTTAAGCTCATGATGAGAAGATTTCTCCCAACAGCAGAAAAATCACAGACTTGCTCCAAATATAATTTAGTCCTTTTTTTCTGCAAATATTTGTGTGTGATTCGTCATGAATTTTCTAGCACCTCAATACTGGCATGTCTCTGTGTCAGTGCCATTCCTCCACTGCTTACTGGTAATTTTCTGATCATGATCCTTTTGCCTTTTAATTAGCAGACACTTTCCTCAGCATTTGGTGACATGAAGAGTAGGATCTTACATTTCTTGGGTTTTCAGCTCACCAATCCAAGGGAGAGGACAGAACTTAACCAGCTGGGGAAAATCATCTCCTTGCAGCAACACTACCTCTCCTGAGTGGTTTCAGGGCTCGTTGTACTAAGACTTGACTTCAGATCCCTTTTCACTTTGGATTTATTCTACACTTCTTTTTGTTTGCTGCTTTGCTTTAATACTGGTCCTAGCTTTGCTGTGGTGGAAGCAGAATAGATTAGGCAGCTGATTCCTATCCCCTCAATAAGGAAATAATTTTTAGCAGATTTGAAAAAAAAAACATAGTAAATGATATTCATATCCGTGGCCATGTTTGACTATGCCATCATGGCTTACATCTCGTGGAGAAGTCAGGTGTCCAACTTCAAGGTATTGCAAAATACAGGGCAGTTCCCATTTCTTCAGGGAAGTGACCTCATAAGGTGAGTGTGATTGGAGACATGCCTAGCCCTGTGTCAGGAGACGGATTTTAGGAGAACACCCTTCTCACTCAGTCCATCACTCTCTTTTCCAAGAGATGTACCGGTGTGTGGTTGTGTCCTTGTCAATAGGTCTGGGTTTACTGCAGTAGAAGAGAGTGGAAATTAGCAGAGCTGTTAGATGACCCATCTGAGGATGATAAAATATGTAGCCGACTTCAGGCCAAACTAATGAACTGAAGAGAAGTGGCTTGGAAACATTTAAGCTAAATTATATGGCAGATGGAAATTCATGGTTATTAATAATATTCAAAAAGGGAGACTGTTTACGATTAATTGAGAAAACAAAACTTAATACTGAGAATTAATGGTAGAATAGATGTCAAAAAATCCCTACAGACATGTAAGGTCATTTAGTTCCCCAGTGAGCGTTTTTCTTAAATAATTAAAGCAGGAAACAGATCCTCCAGTATTTAACACAATCTTTTCTTACCAGTAAAAAACATATGGAAACAATAGCTGTACTATCAGAGGAGGAGGGGATGGCAGCAAACCACTTCCTGGCTACATCTTCTATTTCAGTTTTACTACATCTACTGTTTAGGAAGGAATTTGGGTGATTAATTCCTGCAACATTATGAGTAAGATTGTTATAATGACTTTTGGTTTAATGTATATCTGATGCAGAGACCTGATCTGACCAACTTAAGTGAGAGCTTAAGATCTGCTGAAAATACAAGCTCATCTCTCCCTAGGACTGTGAAAGAAAACTGAATACTAAACATGAATTAAATAAATAGAGAACAGAAGAGGGAGTATCATGATGCTGCTAGATACATCCTTGGTGTGCCTGCAACTCCAATATTGCATGCAGTTCTGTTTACATCATTCAGAAAGCTTCAGAGATGCCACAGGGATGGTTGGCTTCTCTGCAAGGGATGACTAAATAGGCTGGGATTCTTCAGCCTGGGAGAGACAGCTGCATTGTATTGGCAGTCTCTGGAAGTATAAACCTCTCTTCCAGCACAAGAACTGGAAAACCCAATGAAGTTGTTTGGACTGATTCAGAAAATGAAAAGAGGAGAGGTCCAAAGAGATAATACTGAAACTTCCTAACAAGTCTGGCCTGAATGGGGGGAAAAAATCCCCTAAAAATTACCCCAGAGGGGTTCTTGTAAAAGTTGAATACAGTTCTTGCATCTTTTAGATGTGCACAGCTCTACCTTGTGTTCTTTCCTTTTGCATCCTACTGGTAATGAACTAGACATGCGCATCTACTTTAAAAAGAGAGGAAAATATGGTAATTTTTTTGTCTTAAGTGGAGATTTCCAATGGCCGGCTGAATCCTTCCTCAATAATTAATGCCTGAAAGCATTTTCTCTAGTACTTAAATGGAAAGAACTTTGATGTCTGTTATTGTAAAGCTGCATTTTCATTCTGAGTGTGCATGACTACTGTCTGGTATTACATCACAGGTTAAAACTTAAGTGCATTGCACTTGAGTTTAGAAATAGGGAAGCATTGCAAGGAGTCGGTCTGTACCAAGACCTTGAGGATGAGCGTCCAGTTGCCACACTTCAGCTTTGCATGCCATTAGAGACTTCCTCCGTAGCCAGTGGGGAGCTGCAGCCCAGAAGCCAGAAACATCAGGCAGATCTGATTCAATTTATTTATGTGTTTATTCTGTCTGAGTCAAAACATGGAGCAGTAAGCCAACATCTTCATTGCCTCTAAAAGATTTAAGGCGATTCCGGCAACTAGTGTCATACTTAAAATAAATCTTCTCAACTTTATTATTCAGCTCAATATTGTGTACAGTAGGTGTGTAACTTGTTTGCTAAATGTTTTATGATGAAGATTATGTAAGTAATGAGCTTTTACATTTTGGCACCAGAGTGTAAGAGAACTGCGTGTAGTACTTTCTAACTTGATGTAGGAAGGAAGCTCTTCTAAGCCCTCTGTAATGACATGGCACAGCAGGAAGATGAGTCTGGATTAATTTGCAAATTAATCCAGAGGAAATGTGACAATGAGCTTTATTTCGCTTAAAGATGAGATGAGAAATCTATACAGAGATCTCTGAATAAAATCAGATTTTCTCAAAGATGTCTTCAGCTTCAGTCAGCCTTAATGCCAGTCACATGTCACATATATATTCTATGTCATTACCTGTAAATGATTGCCAAGTAGAAACTGGAGTGTACATGTGTGTTGTATATTTTATTTGGAATTTTTTTACTAATTTCTTGGGATTCTGGGTAAGTGACTCTAATTTCCAAACGTGTCCAAAATCTCCTGGAAAATCCTGAGTGTCTTTATTCCTTGATGGAAGGAGTCAGGCTGTCTGAGTGACTCCACAGAGGTATTTATCTCTGCTTCCTCCCAGGCAAAACTGTAAGAAATTTCCCAGCTAAAATATGGTCATTTTGAACCATTACAAGACTGGCTTTCTTTCCCCAGCTGGGTGGTGATGTAACCATAGTAAGAGTTTGGACTGTGAAGAATCGGTTATTGTCTTCTACTTTAGTTTTACTTGCTTATAAATGTCTTATCCTGTTCTTCCCAGGGTGGAAGCTTACCAGAGGTTCATATTTTAAACTAAGATGTAATTAATTTTGAATCAAAACCATAGATAAAATAAACCGCAGTGAGCGGCATTTCTGTGGTGTATTGTGTGTGGTCAGTGCATATGCTGCAGGTTGGTGAGGCTAAAATGCCATGTGCCATCGTTGTACCTATCTTCAGGGGCTGCACTGCTTCCGAAGGAATCACAGAGGAAATTACTGGATTTTCAGTTAAGAGTCAGCTTCTGCACTAACCACTCAGTCATCCAAATAATCATCCTGGAATCACGGAATGGTTGGGGTTGGAAGGGACCTTAAATACCATCGAGTTCCACCCCCCTGCCATGGGCAGGGACACTTTCCACTAGCCCAGGTTGCTCAAAGCCTCATCCAGCCTGGCCTTGAACACCTCCAGGGATGGAGCATCCACAGCTTCTCTGGGCAACCTGGGCCACTGCCTCACCAACCACACAGGAAAACATTTCTTCCTAATGTCGAATCTAAATCTCCTGTCTTTCAGCTTAAAACCATCACCGCTCATCCTATTGCTACACTCCCTGATAAGGAGTCCCTCCCTATCTCTCCTGTAGCCCCCTTTAAGTACTGGAAGGCTGCTGAAAAATTATTTTCCCCATTAGTACAAATACAAAAATTGTATGCATTAAACCCACCTGCAAATTGGACATTGAGTATACAGGCTGGAGAGAACAACACGGAGCTCCTTGTCTGTATGTAATATGGTATGCAGGTTAAGAATAAGCTCCAGAACTGGGGAAGGAGGGTAGAGGTTTGTTAAATTTAAAAATTGAATTGTATATTAAAAGTAACAGAAAAGATTATTGCTTTGGATCAGGGATTTTGTTGGTAAGAAGTATGACCTGAGCATCTAAGTAGGTACAGCAGGGATCAATTAAAGGGAGAGAAAGCAAAGATAGTTTTGCAGCATGCTGCTGTACTAGTCTCCTCCAGCAAACCCACAAGATCTTTGCCAGTTTGGGCTGGAGGTGGCAGGCACTGAGCTTTGCCTTTGGGGTGATGCCACGGTGCACGCACCCAAATGCATCAGCTCTCGGAGCAGCACAGCCCTTTCTGAATGTTAGTGCTGCAGCTGCAGCATTGTGTGGTGTTGGCCAAAGATCCCACATGGCGTTTCCCCTGGTTCCTCATCCCTCCTGTTTTTTTTTTTCACCAGCATCTTTCTTTTCCGCTTAATCCTGTACATTTCTAAGTATGCTTGTCCTTTGCATGCCACAAACTTTTGATAAAGAAGCTTTATGCCAACTCAGCCAGGACCGCATCCATTTGAAATAGTTATTTGATATGGATGTTGCATACAGGCAGGAGTGGGCATTATGTTGGATCCAAACAGGATTATTAAAAAAAAAAAAAAAAAAGCTGAACGTAATAAGAAAATGAAAAGTATATTACCACATGTCACTCTGTTTTAGTGGGTATTTCAGCACAGATACAGGCACGGTTGCATTTAACTGTTGTGCTGCCTTTAAAAAAAAAATCTCAAGCTGTTTGATAAGGAAGCTGAACTTAAAACCGAAGCCTTTCTCATAACCTCTGCTCCCTCCTACGCAAAGGCAGAAGCAGGAACAGGCTGCATCTCAAGGCGGTCAGCGCAGTGGCAGAGGGCCAGCGTCATGGCGTGGTGTCAGCACTGATGACAGCGCAGCGGAGGATTGCCTGAAAATTCTGTCCTTTGTCACTGCTCAGCTAGAGAGCTCGGGGCAGTGGCTTCTTGCTCTGGAGAGTGGTAGGAAAGGTCTCTGCAAGCCTGCTGAGGAAGAAGCAGTTGCCATCCAAGGAGGCTTCATTGTGTGAAGGTTCTGATAACGTGCTGTCGTGAATAATTCATCTTCCGAACAGAGCTATGGTATCACTGTCAGCTGTGACAATAAACTCTATCTCCAGGTACTTAGCTGAGATGCCTGTTCTGCGGGGTGAGCATCTTAGTAAAATCTCTTAACTTGATACCTAGGCTAAAAATACCTTTGTTGCCGTTTAGCCACAGTTTCCTTTTTTAACATTTAAAATAGCAATCAGTAACCACTTAAAAATACCGACAACATCTGATTGATGCATTTAGATTTGCTGTCAGCAAGTCAGATGCTGCAAATATAATCTCAAGCAAAACAGTCTAAGGAAACAGAACTTTTTGGGGGGATAGTATCAGTGGCAGGGTTATTGAGGGCATAGATGTGAAAGAAGCATATGGTCGCAGAAATAAAGTATGGAAAAAGTGAAGAAGGCGGAGACAAACCTTCCTGGTCATAAGCTGAGTTTGGGTATGAGGGTAGTACAGAGGGGCTTGTGCATATGCTGGAAAATAAGCAATACCTACCATGATCCTTCATGAATATCATCAATCCCTTGATACAAGTCACAGTATCCTTCAGAGTATTTTCATTTTTCGTGTTTTCTTACAGCCCCAGCAGGACTTTTATGCTGAGTAGAAACCACTAGTCCCATCAGACATGCCTGGGTCAGACTTGCTTGCTGGGAATGGCTTAAGAAAGTGCTGAGAGCAGGCCCACACAGAGCAGGAGTGACACTGAATTGGGAGGATGCTCTGGAAATGTCACAAAGGTGAAGCCACGCTCTAATACTATTCCCACCAAAACTAAAGCTGGAGGATTATTAGGTGAATAAGGAGTTTGCAGTAAAAGAAGTTAAGACTAAAAAGAGTGGTCTTTTCTTAAAAGAAAAAAACCTAAAAGTCCAGCATCCTCTTATTTTGCTGCTTTAATATCACTGTCATTCCCTAAAGGTACTGAGGTACTGCTATAGGCTTTTTTTTTTTTTTTTCCCCCTAGTGCATTAGTTTCTGGTAATGTCTAGGTGTCTCTAGATTTACAATTATCTTTGCCATACCTAGTAAGCGATATGTGGGTGATAACACAAACTATGTCAGTCTGTGTTTGTTGTCTTCTTTGGAGCTGCTAGTTGTCAGAATGCAGCATCCTCTGTGCCACCCAGCAAGGCTGGACGGTGAAACACACAATAAGAGTGTTTTCACTCTCATCCCTGGAAGTCTTTCAAAGCAGGATCTCCATTTGTTTACCCAGGTTTGCCCACACATCCTTCTGGGCATGCAAGAGCTGCATACAAGTGACCCAGCTGAGCTCTGAAATCATGTGGTGACCTGTTAGGGAGATAAGTATCCACAAGCTGTCAGAAATACTGAATTAGGAACAGCAAAACTTTCCAGAACAAGTCCTTTTTTAAACGTGTCTCACACTGTAGCATCTGCTTTTCCATGCAGTTTTGAACCTTCAGTGACAGGTACATGGGTCTTTGTGTGGATTTAGGGGTAACCTGGCTGCTTCAGCTAGACTGACCTGAATCTTTTACCGACCAATTGTGTCTTTTCCCCATCTCTGCTTGCTCAAAGTTGCAGTTGCAAGTCCAGTCCTCCGGAGCCTCTAACAACTGCCATGAGCCGGTGGGGCGTGATCCCGATGCTCCCTAGCTCCTGCAGTGCTTTGCTGCAGATAAAGGTGCAGATTGCAATCCCCTCCCCTGGCACAGCACGAAACATCTGGGGTTAAACCTTGATCGTCCTAGTCCATTCTTGGCCATCGGAGCAGCTGGGTTTATTTTTGCATCCCTGGCCTCTGCGATGGTAGGCTGGGCTTCTCCTGAATGGTGTGATGCCAGTGCTCCCAGCCTGCCAGCTGAAACCTTGGCTCTTCTCTCTCTTGCTGGCCCTAATGGGATCTCTGGGTCCTCTCCTTCCCACAACACGAGTGAGGCAGCAAGGTGACATTAAAGTACTGGAACAGCAGATAAAAGGCCCTTACTGTATTTATTGAGTGTTACAGATAAGTAATCCATTCCGCTTGTCAGTGTCTAGGGAAACAGCAAATAAAGTATACATGCCCCTTGCTTTGATGTGATGAAATCTCCAGAGAACATTTGCTTCAGTGGCATTCGCAGCACAGCTGTTAGCTGAGTTCTGCAGTGGAAAATATCAGATTTTCATGTCTTTATGCATTGCTTTAAAAATATCACTATGGCTGATTCTTGTACGTTGGACAATTCCGTGGTCTGAAAGCGATTTTTTTTTTCCAAGATGTTATTAAAATCTTCTTAACCATTTTTGTTGGAAGGGGAAAAATTAATAGTTATTTTGTGGTTTCATACACAACATTAAAACAACAGTCTGGTTTTCATTTAAACCAATAAAAGTATGGAAATTCAAAATGAAGGCTCTCTTCATGTCCTTAGATCAACTTGTTGGCCTTACTAAAATGCATAATGGATGGAGCAGGGGAAAAACCTCAGTCTTGTAGCATTGTTTTCACATACAGTTAGGCTTTTTTGTTGCTGGATTTTCAGCTTGACATCACTTTGTTTGCCTGTCTTCTCAAGCTGTAAAAACTTGCTATTTTTTATAAATTTGCAGCAGTTTCGAATCCAGTGACCTGCAGACATGATTTTTAAAAACCTAAGCAATTATTAAGCAAGTTGGTTAGCAAATGTACATCAGTAATTGAATTAATCCCCAAAACACCTGCAGGCACTGGGCAGTATAAGCGAGTGGCCTTAGCCTGTGCATTATTCCATCTCCCTGAGGCTTTGCAAAACGTCTTCTTCCCAAAGCAGTTCCTTCCCTCACCTCTGTGAACGAGCCGCCCAAGCTGTTCACAGCCCTTTGATCCAGTAAGTCACAGCTCTGTCACTTCTGGCTGGTGCCCACACTGTGGAAGCTGCCTGCCCTCCCTCTTCTCCCCTCTCCTGGGAGGGAGGTTGCTCCGCTGGGCTCGGTGCCGTCCTTCAGCTGCTTCCCAGTGTCCCCCAGCCAAGTTCCATGTGTGTGTGTGTCCTAATTTCAGCTGGGACAGAGTGAACTTTCCCCAGAGCAGCCAGTATGAGGCTGGATTTGTGCTGAGGAGAAGCTGATCACACACTGATGGGCAGAGCTGCTGCCAGGACAGTCAAGGACTTTCCAGCTTCTCTGCTGTGCCCATGTCTGCAGGGGCAGGAGAAGCTGGGAGGGAGCATAGCCCCAGTTCCCAGCCCAGGATTTGACCTCAGGTTGAGGACTGAGACCCAAACTGGCCCATGGTCTGTTCCATCCCATGCCCAACATGGCCAGGGTATGGGTGAGGCTCTGTCCGGAAGGGCTCTCTCTTGGTCTGGGTTTTGTCCCTCTGGGTCACCCCTCTCTCGGGGTCGTCTCAGTCTCTCAGACACTTGGGCTCTGATCTCTGTTCCAGGATTGCAGTTTCGGGACTCTTCCTGCTCTGGGATCATTGGCCAGGAACGAGCCTTGGTCATGGCGTGGTGAGCAGTGTCACTGTATGTCACTTATTTGCATATTTGTATATATTACTATTATTATCATCATTATTTTTGTTTCCCATATTATTGTAGTTTAGTTATTAAATTGTTCTTATCTCAGCCCCTGAGTCTCTTTTCCCTTCACCCCTTTAATTCTCTCCCCCATCCCCAGGAGGGAGGAGTGTGAGCAAGCGGTGTTGAGTTTTGTTTCCAGCCAGGGTCAAACTACAACAACGTGTGTCCTGACAGCAGATAAAATTGTAACTTATCTTTGATTACTGCACTGCGGTTCAGTATCCATCTCCAACGACCCCTAACACCTTCTGAAAGTTTGTCACTTGGGAAGACAGGTCCATAAAGTGATGTTAAGACTTAAATGAGGTACTTTAGGAACAACTGGCTGGCTCGGCTTTGGCAACGCTTAACGTTGTAAAGGTTGTACCTACTGAAGTGCTCCGTGTAATAAACTGTTTGCTGAGCAAATCGAAACCCTCTGGTCAGCGCTCCAGCCCACATGTGCTGTGGAGCAGAGGCAGGGTAGGGGCTTCGGCAGCTTGGCGCCTGCAGCCCCCAGGCTGGGCAGTTCATCCCTCTCTCCGATGCATTCCTACAGCGCAGAGGTTTCTGTATGCTGAGCTTTGCCGGGGGAATTTGCTTCGCAGGCTGGAGGAGATCTTGTTTATTTTATTTCCCCCCAGCAAGGGGAAATGAGTTGCCAGAGTAACATGGACAAAGGGTAGTGTTTTAGATGGGATATTGCAGCTTCATATTTATGTGCTTGTTTATAAGACTTTTATATTCTTTCAAAGCACAGCAACAGCAGGTAATACATTGTGAGTATTTACAGTAGCTGTGAGAAGAGGGCCTGAGGGTGATGGGCATCTCAAACCCCAGCTGTTCAGAGCCCTTACCTGAAAGAGGCCAGAGGAGTTTCCGGACAAGATCTGTCCCCTCTGCTGTGTGACATGCGTTTAGCAGCAGCTCTGTTCTCTGTCCGGGCTCTTGTGGTCTCTGCCAGGAGGAACTGGGACAAGCACTGCTGAAATCACTAATGGCGCTATTTGATCTTGGCAGTAAAGAGCCCCCGAGACGGTTCCCGGATGCTGGCACCATGTGCCTGTGCTGTTAAATTCACGGCTTGAGCAGGGATAGCACAGGCCAGGGAACATTTCCAGCAGGGTGGGATGCGCGAGGTCCTGTCGTGTTGGCATCCTTTCCTCTGGGGCAGTCCTCCAGCCTGCCCCGTGTCCCTGCTTAATCCCCCCGCCTTTCCCTCCTCATTGCAGGCTTTGCCAAGTGGCTGTGCCTCGCCCTGAAATCTCCCGGTACCTGGGGACTGCAGAAGCTGGAGAGAAGCTCTGGAAGAGGGGAAGGACCAAGGCGGACAGAGATGAGAGCTTGCAGAAGACTCGCCAAGCTGGGGAAGAGTCCTGCTAGCGCCCGGGTCAAGGCAAAACCTTTAGATGACACAAAAAGTGGGGATGAAAGCCAGTGCCCTGCCGCAGCCCGGGGCAGCCGCCCTGCCAGGCTGCTCTGGAGGTTTGGCACAGAGCCCCGCGCACCCAGGAGCCCTGTGCCCCAGGAGGAAGGCTGAGCGAGCCAGGGTGGCAGGGTCCTTCTGCACACTTTCAGAGCTGGCTGGTGCAGGTGGCACAGGGGCGTCTGCACCACGTCTGGAGACCTGTGGCAAGATGGGAGCCACCAGTTCCTCAACTGGGACATACTCAGGGCGAAGCGAAAAGAAAGTACCTTGAAGAGCAGCTCTTGCAGCCACCACTCTCCAGTTTTCTGTGGAGCATGTTGTATTGGGTTCTTTTTCCATAAAGGCAGTAGCATACCGACAGCATTCTCCATGCCAAACTGTTACTGGGTCTTGGTCTCAGACCAGCAGAATAACAAATGGGAACCCAACCTTGCTGTAACTTTGCCAAGGGAAGGTGACAGCAGAGCTCAAGGGGTCAGTGACCCAACACTTCAAGGAGTTCCTGAGGTCCACAAGGAGGAGTAGATCCTCCTTGGAAAGATCTAGGGGCAGGGGCAAGGGGAGAGGCAGCTCAACACGTTCTTGGAAGAGACATTGGACTGGAGATGGAAAGGGAGCTTCTCCAAACACCATGGTGCTCAGCCCTCCTGGGTCAGGCCTGGCCTTGGCTTCTTCCATCAGGCAGCTCCACCACCACCCCCGCTAGTGCTGGGTGCCTTAGTTGTTAAAAAATATTCGTTGTTTAGCTTAAATAAGTAAGTTGTAAATAGAATGAATCACTTAAGAGTTGTAAGGTTGTGTGATTTAGTGTGCTGTTTGCTCAGCTTTACTTAGTGAGTAGCTAGATTTGCTGAAGCCTGAGGCCTCAAGCCGTAAATTTCCACTTAGGTGTATTTTTCTTTTAGTGTCTGTTACAGTGTGCTGTGTCTTGGGTTTTTTAGCGTGAGAATAATGTAGGTAACACCTTAAAGTTGTGATTATGGTTAAGTGACGGCTAAGTGTTTATCCTAAGACCGGAACCATTTATCCTAAGTCTTGGACTTTTGCAGTTTCTCATATTCTGCTGAAAAAAACACAGAGTAGAAGATACAGAGACTTTGAGGCTGCAGCCATCAACAGCAGGTGCACCTTGTCAAGATAACAATTGGCGGCCTGCCCAGAGACAGAGAAAAAATCCAATGAGGTGTTAGAAGACCCCAAACCAAAAATCATCATTGGACCAAAAGTCATGTGAACAGCACGTGAATAGTCTCTAAGGGTATAATTGCCCCAGAATTTCTTGGCTGAGGGTCCCTCTCTGGAGGCACCTAACCTGAGCTGACCCTGCTGCTGTACCATTTAATAAATTATTTATTTTTTTAAACTTTGATGCCTGAGACTGCTACAGGAAACCTAGTGATCGGAGTATGAAAATAACACCAGACACCCAGACAGTGCGGGTTTCCTTAACATTATTTCTCCTCTTTTCTTCTCCCCAGCTTTCATGGGTTGATTGATTTTTCTTTCTGCCCCCCCACATTTCTCTTTTTCCCAGCATATTTGTGTTAAAATTTGTGAGTTTTTTCTTGGGGGGCATTTCAAGGTTTATTTCTGATGGGATTTGAGATGGAATCTGACCTGTGATCCTCTTCTGTGCTGATATTAGGTGAGGTTGGTGTGGGCACAGCTGTTGTGGTGGGGTGGGGGAGACCAGCCAGGAACCTGAGCTAGGAGAGGTTGGAAAAAATACCAACAAGAGAAACAAGGGGATGGGGCAGATACCTATGATTGCCTGGTGGGTTTTCAGGTGAGAGATTGTGACTGCGGATTGTGCATTCTCCTGCAGAAGGCATCTGTCTGTGAAGAGTGGACTGTCTATTTTTGGTGAACCTCCTCTGGTGATTCACCAAGGCTTCTGAGACATCGTAGGCTTCATGACTTACTTATTGACCTCACAGAGGACACTCAGTAGGGACATGAATTGTGTCCCTGCACATTTGGGAAGGCCACATGGAAATGTTGCCAGAATGGACCCATCATGACAAGGAGTTTGGACTCAGCACCTGTAGACTCACACAGCTGTAATGGTCCCCACCAGGTTGGTAAGAGCTGGGGTGACACCAGCCCTCCTCTCCACCAGGATTGGCTCAGGAATGACACAGTCCCCTGGTCGTTGTCCTCTGCATGTACATAGACTCTGAACTGCAGCCGTGATGGTGTTTGAGAAGGTGGTAAGCCAGTAGCCATGGTAGGAATGGACCTTGGTGCAGACCAGTGGTATGTAGGCTTTACAGGTTGAGTGGCAGTTGTTGCAAGGACTTCTCAGCATGCCTGCTGGAAAGCACTCTGCCAGTGCTGCTGGACCCCTGCCCCTGGCTGGCACAGCATGACTCGAGCGCCTGCGTCATGGCACTGCGCGCGGAGGTTTGATTTATAGCCTTGGTTCCTCGAGTCTCGCCTTGGCACAGCAGGAAATTTCAGTTCCCAGGGAGAGAGCATGTGCCGGTGGAGTGAGTGTGTGATGAAGTCTTCCTGGTTGCAAGTTCTGAGAAGCAGCATTAGTCATGACAGCAAGGTCAGTCATGCCGGCGTTTTTGTTTGAGACACATTCATTGCAGTTGCATGGAGGTGGTGTGGGTAAAGTAGGCAGAATCGTACAGTCCCACCAACTCTGGAGGCACTGGAGTGGGGGTTCTCCCAGCAGGGCCAGCACCACAGCTGCAGCAAGTTATTCCGGGCCATATCTGGGTCAGTGAGGGCAGTCCCCAAGAATGGAGACCTTCTTTAGTAGACTGCGTTAGCAACCCTGCACAGGACTTTATCCCGTTTGTTCTTGTCTCTCTTGTACTAGGAGGACACAATGAACTGTACAAAGTGATGTGGCCTCACTCGAGGGGAATAATCCCTTCACTTAGACCTGCTGGATGCTCTCACGGTGGGCTAGTTGGCCTTCATTGCTGTGACTCCTGGCCAGCTTGGTGTGTTCAAGTCTGCAGATGCCTCTTGCTTACAGAGCCTTGCGTGGAGAGCTGCCCCCTCCAGCCCATCCCAGCCTGCCCCAGGCTGGTCTGTCTTGAGGCAGAACTTCTGCTGAAGTCCTTCTGAAGGACTTCCATCATCAATATAAAACTTCATGCAGATATACCATGTTCCATCCAAACAGTTTTGTATGAGCGCCCAAGAGAGAAATTCAGTAGAATTAATTCTACAACTTAGACCATCAATACACATCTCGGGTATAATTCTGTCTTTACAGAACAACCTCAAAACATATGTGCTATTTCAATCTTAATTAAATTATCAGAATAAAGCTTAGAAGGGATTTTCATGGTACACAGCTCTCAAGTGCTTCTCAGCTAAAGAAATAGTGACATTTCAACTATTTGTCATAATCAGGTTCAAAGATACAGCTTAGAATGAAAAGTAGTTTGACATAAGATTCTTCCAAGCATCGATGACAGTTGAAAAAATTCTAATAATATGAAGCAATAAAAGCAGAGTTTAAAGCTACAAGAAAGTCAGCACCATGGCACTCCACACCTGGCTTGCTGCCCGTGGGAAGTGCCACAGTGGACGTAGCCACCAGCTGCTCCTCCATCATAAAAGATATTCGTCATCTCGGCTGAATTTTGCATAAAATGAAGCACCTCTATTGTTGTTCTTTTGCCTGTCCCTATCCAATCTCCAAAGAAGCCCAACAAAGCGTGCAGTTTCACATACTAGCGGGAGACCGCTGTGATTTTGTCTTTGCGTGTCCTGCTCCTGCTCGCAGGAGTGCTGGCTGTCCATTCGGTAGTAGGAAGAGAGGTGTGGTACCTAACTCCATGATGAGTCAAACTTGTATTTCTCTTTGGCATGAAATAAAATAGTGTTTGAATGCACAGCAGGGCTAATGCTACTTTGTGCAGCTTTGTATGAAGATTATAAAATTGAGGCAAAAACCAGATCTTAACTGTAATTAGAAGAATTAAAGAAAAGACTTGGAAAAAGATTTTGATTTTTCTTTGAGGAAAGATTTGGGAAAAAGTCACTGGTCATCGGAGTTTGACGTCAGAGGCAACTAGTGGAGAACTGGGAGATAAACCATCAGCAGATGGGGGAGGATTGCGAGGAAGGGCGTGCTTCAAATAGTGTGCCATTAAAGCTTCATGAAGAGGTGTCCCAGAAAAAATATTACAAAGCACTAGGCTTAATGTTAAATTTTTTAGTTTTAGCAGTCTGGTCATTTTCAGGAGGGAATAATCAGCTTAACCACAGCATTCACACATTTAATGTTCTGAGAGAAGAGGGATTGTCTGATTTTTTTTTTTTTTTCCACAGTAATTAATGAAAGTCAAAAGCAGCAACTGGAATCTGTGAGCTACTCCTCCCGCTATGCCCTGGGACTTTTTTATGAAGCCAGTACACGGATTGATGTCCCTTGGGCTGCACAATACATCACCAATAATCCCTGCATACGCTTCATCTCCATCGATAATAAGAAACGCAATATAGGTCAGTGCTCCCATTATTTCCCTTAAACACAGTGACAATAGAGGGTGTAGATCATGAAAAATGCAGTTTAATTGAGTGTTGCTATTCTGAACAGAGCAAGTATTTAACTCCAAGCCGCAGCGGATAGCATTTAATGTCGCATTTGGCCTGTAATAAAATACACAATGAAAGCGGGAAGGTCCTCAGAAAATCACCACCCAGCACATGGTTTATGTTAGTGCATTTATGAAACCAGTGCCGGGGGATTTGAGACATCAAAATGTTGCTATTCCAAGAAAGAGCTGGAGTTCCTTTGTTTAAACATTGATTCATACACATGCCAATTTATCTCCCATCATCTATTACTTTACAACTCTTGTTGTTTCCACTGAGCACGCTTGGAAGTAGTAATGAGTTACATAATTGAGGCTGTTCGGTCTAATTCAGAGTTAGCCAGTGTGCTTTTATATTCACGGAAAATCCTTGAAATGGCTGCACATAGTAGGGCTGCTCGGTGAAGCTTGGAGAGCATCCCACAAGGCAGACACTTCTTCTCATCTATTTCTGGAAGATGGCAATCGAGTAAGTATATGTTTTATTTATTAAAATGTATATCATATACCAAGAGTGTGTTGGCGTAGATATAGCTCAAGAAAAACCACTAGCTTTTGAGTTTAATCAAGTTTGTTAGGAGCTGAAAACTTTGCCCTGATTCTGTAACTTGCTCACGTTGTGACGATGGCCAAGTCAAACCACATCCGTGACGTGGGGGTAAAAACCTTTGTGGTGACCTACAAAGCACCGTAACTCCCTGTCACAGAATAAGGGAAGATTTTCATCGTCAGCTGCTGGCTAATACATAAGTATTACTGAATTCCCTGCGCTAAAGCATGTTCAGATTTAGACTGGGAGGCTTCTTGTTTCTGGTCTTCCTTCTTCAGTTGGGATTCATTGTTTCCTGCCTGCAGTCTGCAGCCATCAGTGATGTTAGTACCTGCTGGGCAGGGCATTGCAAACCTTGCTTGTCACCCTTACATCTACACAGTGTCACTGTGCTAGAAAACAGCCGTCAGCTTGGGCGTGCCTTCCCTCTCTTACACTGTAAACATGCAAGTTAATGTAGTAAGCTATGATTCAATGAAGGAGTGTCATAGTAGAACAGCAGCACTGGTGGCCAAGGCCTCTGAAGATCTCTGCTCCAGGCTGGGCTAACACAAGGTCAGGGCAGCCATGCCTTGTCTAGCTGAGGTTTGAAAAAAAACACAAGGTGGAGATCCCCCACATCACTGGTGACCTGTCCTAGGGCTGCATCTCCAGTGGGGGAAGAAGCGTTATTTCCTGTGCCATTTGAGCTTACCAAGGCTCAGCCTGTGGATCACAGAATCACAGAATGGTTTGGCTTGGAAGGACCTTAGAGATCATCGAGTTCCACCCCCTACCATGGCCAGGGATACCTTCCACTAGCCCAGGTTGCTCATCCAGCCTGGCCTTGGACACCTCCAGCCTCATCCAGCCTGGCCTTGAACACCTCCAGTTCCATTCCCTGCCTCTACCAATTAGAGTCATGGTCATTCAGGTTGGAAGGGACCACTGGAGGTCAGCTGGTCCTACCTCCACGCAAGGTTTGAAGCTAGATCCAGCCGCAAAGTTCGATCATGTTGCTTGAGGCCCTGATACAACGTGATTTGACAGCTTTGCATTGCTGGCTGATATTCAACGGTGGATCCACCATAACCAGCGCAGTCTTTTCAGAAAGGTCTGTTGCTCAGCCAAACCGATACATGAGGTTGTCCTGTGTCAGACCCAGGACCTTGCCCTCCTCCTTGTTATGGTGATAGTACAGGTTAAGTCAGCTCTTACAAATTTCGCTTTCTTTGCACCAAAGCCAGCTGGGTAGCAATGGTTCTGAAAGTGCCTCCAGGCTGGATGAGGCTTTGAGCAACATGGTCTAGTGGGAGGTGTCCCTGCCCGTGGCAGGGGGGTGGAACTGGATGATGTTTAATGTCCCTTCCAACCCAAACCATCCTGTGATTCTATGATTCTAAATAGCAGTTTGTGCTGGGAGCAAAGGAGTTGGAGAGAGGAATCAACTCAGCACTGCAGAGGCCCAGTTTTGTTACTTCTCCTAAAAATTTTGCCTGTTGGTCTGAAAATAAAACAAAAGAATGGCTGAACTGGACAAAACAAAGATGCATCCATCCTGATATGCTTCCTCCAGCAGGGACCAATAGTGAATGTGTAAAAAAAAAAAGAGTGTAAGAAAGCCAAATACAGAGTGATTTTTTTTTTTTCTCTGGCATTGTGTCCTTGTTACTGACAATGTGCAGCTGGAGACTTTCTTGCATCCAAGATAGTATCGCCATCGTTGTCTTTAATGGTGAGTACTTGGTAGTTAAATAGCACCTACTGGTATTGTCCATGCCGGCTGCCTGATTCAAGCTTTGCAGAAGAGGACACAGCCTAAGAGAGAAATTCACCCATCCTTTCCTCACCTGCTTGCCTGTGTGGTCTCAAAGTGCCAACACTGAGAACAACAAATATGGAATTATAATGGAATTATCAAATAGCACGGTGTCTTTGCTGTCTCCAAATGCCATTTAACCAAATAGAAAGCATATTATTTGGGGCACATCATTAACAAATACATAGAAACTACCAGAATATCAGTGTTGACACATACCTTCCTCACTGAAATCTCCCTCATATTGCGGGAGAGATCTGTTTATATGAGCAAATTTTTCCAAGAAGAACAAATTTTATACCTTCACAGGAATGGATCAGGCTGGGGGCCAACAACCGAAGATGATTTCTTTCTGATAGGGCCCCCCTTGTGCTGCATAAACAGTCAACCAGCCACCTTGACACCTCTGTCTTTCCTGGTGAACTTGCATTTTGCAGATTTGCACTTTGTTCCAGGAAAAGCAGTACAAGGGAGAAAGCAGGTCGTGTTAGCTGGAGCAATGTTTCTGCCTGCGAGCGCTGGAGCTGAGTGCCGGAGGGTCGGAAAGCATGCCTCTATCGTGTTTGGTAATGCTGACATGCAGAAGTATAAAAATCAAAAGTGGTCGCCAAGGGATTCACTCAAACACACACACAGCTCTGCTGATAGTAGAGACACATGCACATACATACTTTAAGACAACATGGGCAAGGGGGGCTGAATGTGAAATTTATTAACGTATGTGGAGTACTGCAGCCAAAACCCTTGAATGTAAAGTTCCTTTGTGTTTGTTTTAGCACATATGCAAGTATTTTGCATTTGTATTTTTCTTTCCGTGCTTCTGACTGACCTCCAGAACATTTCAATGGGAGGCAAAGCAGCACCTTGCTGACCCTTGGTCGCTGTCTGTTTTTTTGGGATGCTACTGCTGATGTTTTAACACTATCCTCCACTCACTGTTCTTTCCATTCTTCCATCCTTCAACCTTGATTGATTGTGATTCATCCAAAGAAGATGATGGTGACAATGAAAAAATAAGCGTTCAGAGAGAGAAAGCAGAAATGCTCAGGCTAAGATTTACTTTGGGTCTCCTGGGTGAAGCAGCTGAGATCTTTCAGGACAGTCATCCTTCCCAAAAAGCCATCACTTTCTCTGGTTGATGCCCGAATGGTCCTGCTTCCACCTTTCCTCTTCTATGCCATATACACTGTCCCTATATACCCAGTTGTGTGTTATTTCTTAAGCACCCACATGCATCCCTCCCTCCATTGCATTCATCTTAAGAGGGAAAATGGCTTTGCTGCCCGTCGGATGTGGCTGCAGTGCCTCTCAGGAGTACATCCTCAACAGAGAGAGGAGCACGGCTGCAGTTCTCTAGGTATAAGTAAAAATGACTAATGGATAAAACATCAACAGAAATTTTATTTTTCTGGTGTTTCTGATTTTCATGTATCCACGATTCATGGTGGTTTATCTAACCCTCGTTATCACCTCAAATGTTAAGATTTCAATAAACAGCAATGAACTATAGAGATCCAAAGGAAATAACTCTAGTTTTCTGCTTAAGGACTCTTTGTTGAACACATCATTATACAAAAAAATAGCTACATCTGTATAACTTCTACCTAAAAGCAAATTGCCCAGCCCTCAAAGGCCAAAAGGCAAAGTCTAGCCCTGGCTATGAAAGTCTAAACTGTCCTTTTAATTTGTGTGAGATGTGATAATCCCTGCTTTGACTCATTTAGTAAGACAGAGATGTAAAACTCTCTTTTACATCTCTGTCTTACTCAAGTTTCCCGTTTTACCAGTGAAATACCCAAAACAGCCTTGTTGTTGTAATTAAACAATAGCATGGGTTTGTTAACAGAGCCAGTGAGTTGCAGTCTGTAATTCTCCAGAAATCTCAGCCTTTGCTTGCTCTAAGAGCCGAGTTCTTCCCTAAGGACCACTCGTGTGTTGTGATGAGCTGCAGCGTGCTGAATCACTGCTTGTTGCACAGCACTTGCGAGCTCATAAAGCCTCTTCTAAGAGACACAGTGGCATCCCCTCTCTTTTTGTTTTCTCCTTAATTCCTTTATGCAGACTGCTCAAGGGTTGCTGCTTCTTCAGACATTTACGGTGTAATGTTGTTCTTTACATGCTAAGTTTGCACTCAGCATAACTCTCATCACTGTGTCCTCTGGAGTTCTGTAATGGATGTAGTCTTCTGCGGCAGACTAACCCTCACTGCGATGGAGAAGAGATCAATGACTCAATGTGCTACCATGAGTTGGCTTCAGCCTAGTTCCTTACCAATAACTATGGATGATATCTGTTTTCTTCCCCATTTATGTGGAATAATCAATAATAAAGCAGTTTCTCTGATACTGCTGTTACCAGTGTAATCTCCCTCTGAGAAGGAAAGCTTTTTGCATCACCTGAGGATCTCAGCTCCTGTTCATAAAATCGCATCTCCATCTAAAGGTAATGCACTTGAAAGTTACATAAGGAAGAGCCTACAAGAAATTTATGTTGAATTCCCCATGCAGTATGTATGAATATTAAGTATTTGTGTGATTGGCTGCCTTGAACACTCCCATCA